ACGGCCTCCGTCTCCGCCCACTTCGTCGCCGACGTCGTGGTCCTCTTCAGGGCCGGCGGCACCCGCCGTCAGGCATTCGCAATAAGGAACGAAGCCCCTTTCTTTCCAAGCAGTTCGAGGCAGTCCGAGGGAACACCAGGGGGACTCGGTTTTCCATAGGTTGTTGAAGGCGTGTGGCATTTGCGGCTGTTCGGCCTTCCGACGGCACGAGACGACCCAAGAAGCCCCAAAGTTAGCCCGAGATCGCCCGAAAGACGGCCCCAAAATGGCACCAAGACGGCTCAAAAGGCCTAGGACGGCCCAAAATGGCCCACGACGGCTCAAGATGAGGCCCGCAAGAGCTCTCCAAGACGGCCCAAAAGGCCTAAGAGTGCCTCCAGGAAGGCCCGAGACCAAAATTATTGATTTCCCGTAGGTGTTTGAAGGATTTGGGCATTTGCTTCTTTTCGGCCTTCCGACGGCCCGAGACGGCCCAAGAGCTCCGAAAGATCGCCCAAGAGGCCTCCAGGATAGCCCCAGAACGCCGAAGATGGCCCCAAGAAGGCCCCCAGACGGCCCAGAAGGCCTCCAAGACGCCCCAAAATGGCCTCCAAGACGGCACTGGAGCACCCCAAGAGGGCCCAGGCCCCAAGTCGGCTCAGAGAGGCCCCCAAGATATCCGACGACGTCGGACGGGCCAGGAACGCCCTCAGACGGCAAAAGAAGCTCCGAGAAGCCCCCCAAAAAGGCCCCCAAGAGGCCCAAGGAGGCCCCAAAGATGCTTCCAAGAGGCTCCCAGGAGGCTCCCAGGAGGCCCCACGAGTGCCACCAGAGGCTCCCAAGATGCCCCTCCTCCTCCTCCTGCTCCTCGTCCTCCTCCTCCTCCTCCACCACCTCCTGCTTCTCCTCCTCCTCCTCCTCCTCCTCCTCCTCCTCCTCCTCCTCGGCTCCTTTTGCTCATGAATAACTTCTCGCTGTCGCACCCTGGGCTGAGCGTTTCGCCTGAGACTTACTCACCATTCATGACCCTGACGCTGTAAAATTGACAACAGTTTCACAGATGGAACGGGTCGTTCTCAAAGTGTCGCTCTCGCCTTAGCGCCGCGCACATTCGTTCTAAAAGCTTACACGAGCTTCTCGGATTGAGGGCAGGTCGTTTTCACAATGTGGTTCTCGCCTTAGCGCCGCGCACATTCGTCTAAACAAATGCAAGAGCTTCACGGAATGAGGGCAGGTGGTTTTCACAGTGTGGCTGTCGGCTTGGCGCCGAGCACATTCGCTTAAAAAATCGCAACAGCTTCGCGGATTGAGGACGGGTCGTTTTCAAAATGTGGCTATCGCCTGAGCGCCGCGCACATTCGATTATAACATTTGACAAGTTTCACGGATCCACGTGATCAACAAAGCAGAAACGGCGTTTTGGAAAGGTTCCGGATTACGAGGGTGCGACAGTTACGCTGATTCGCGGTGTTGAAGTCCCAGGAATGGCGCTCGGGCACTATATTCAAGATCGTAGAGATGCAACAGTCAGGTTGATCCATGGCGCTGCAATCCCGAGAACAATGTTCTGGCATGCTTCAGGGTCTTCAAACGGTTGTCTTCCAACGAGGCAGTTCCCTTAGTGGAAATGAACCGTTGTAGGGGCCTATCAAAGCGGAGCTTGGAGGGAGGGTTTATTCCAATATCGTTGATGATCATTGGTTCTCCACTGGTCCTCCTCCTCCTCCTCCTCCTCCTCCTCCTCCTCCTCCTCCTCCTTATCCTCTTCGCCTCCTCCTCCCTCTTCTCCTCCTCATCCTCATCATCATTATCTTCCCCCAAATGTTCCCCGAAAGGCTTCCACAACGGTTGGGGAAACATATGGTCCGATAGCTTGGCAGAGCTCTTGCGACGACGCTCGGACACATGGGCGATTTCAAAGGCAGGGGGCGGCGGTGATTCGGTGTAGGCGTCTTCGATCCGCCGCCCCCTGTCTTGCCACAGGGGTGCCCGGCGTGCTAGACCGTACGGGTTTGGGTTTGTGCTCTTTTTCCAGAAAAGAACTCTCACCTGGGGCTTCGGCCCGTCCCGTCGGTCACCCGGAAAGCAGCCGAAAATGCACCTGCCAACGCCTTTCTCACTCCAAGATGGCCCAAGATGGCTTGTAAGACAGCTCAGATGGTCCGATATGGCATCTAAGTTCCCCCAAGATGGTCCAACATGGCTTCCAAGATGGCCCAAGAGGATCCAAGATACCTCCAAGTCCGCCCAGGAAGTCTCCAACATGGTCCAAGATGGCCTCAAAATGGCCCAAGACGGCCCAAGAGGCCCCCAAGAGGTCTCCAAGACGGCCCAAGAGGCCTCCAAGAGGTCCTCCAGGAAGGCCCGAAAAAAATGAATGTTCCTTCGGTGTTTGAAAGATTTTGGCATTTGCTTCTGTTCGGCCTTCCGGTGGCCCGAGACGGCCCAAGAGCCCCCAAAGATCGCCCCAAGATCGCCCACGAGGCCTCCAAGATGGCCCCAAAACAGCCCAAGAGGCTCC